AACTGGTTGGCCAGCGTAGGTAAAACCATTCAGACACATCTCCCAGGAGACTGTAGGGTCAATGTGCTCTTTACTGGTTTCAGAGTCAGCTGCATCAGTGCTGATTAGTCCTTGCTGGGTGTAATTAGTCATTTATCAGCTCCTATGGCACTGTGGGGTCTTGGGCTGGGATGCAGAGCCTTGTCTCTGCCATGGTTTGAGCGGTACAGCCGGGGAGCCTCCTCCAAGACAGTCCTGGTGGCCACCTGTGTCACCCCAGGACATGCTGAGGAGTTTGGGGATCACGGGGCAGGCTGTGCTGGTGGCATGTTCACCCGAACATATGCACGGCAGCCTTGCACAAAAGGAAGATCTGACACTGCTTAAACCTTGAGTATCTGTTATGACTTCACTGCGTATTTTAAATTCTTTTCGCTAGACAATGTTTCACTTGGAAATTTTTTCATATATTTTCTACTTTTTTGAATTAATTCCAACAAGCTGTCATCTGTATCTAAATGATTAATTTTATTTTTTTTTTTTTTTTTAGACTTTAAGTGCACCCAAAACCAATTGGTTATATTTCCAAGCAAAATATCTCGGAGAGTTCAAACAGATCCCAAATCCCTCAGTCTTCACCCAGGTCTCCTGTGAGATTTAATGTGTAATTTCAGTCTGAGGGAGGTAACTGCAAAGATTTAATTGACATTCGTATGTTGGTCACATGTGTACAACCCACCACGAAAAACCCCACGATTGCACTATTTTCTGCAATAATTTTTTTTTTATAAGAAATCTGGGAAAAAAACAACTTGATTTAGGGGAGGGCTCAGGAGATGCTCATAGTCTTCTCTGGTTCTGCCTGTCCATGTTAATCCCGGTGGGGGTTAGAAGACAGGAGGGAGAGGCTTCGTGGAGTCATTAATTTTATATATATACATATGTATATATATTTGCTCCTGTTCAAGACTTCAGTCCTCAAGGTGATTGTCTGAACGCGATATTGTGGGTGTGCACTGCAGAGAAAGCAGCGGCACAATTGCAGGGACAATTCCTTCTGGGGACGGAGGGGCAGAGAAGGGAGAGACAAATCGTGGCTCCTAAGTACTGGTCGGTGCCGTTCCTGCGGTGAGGAGATGGAGGAGAAGATGCAGGCAGATTGGCAGCCCAAGTATTAAAACAAGCCTATGTTAAGTACTCCGTGCCTTTCATTTGCCTGGGATGTTCTGTTGTTCACCTTGTACTCTGCAGAATCACAGGAAGGAAGAAAATAACAACTAGGTCTGGCAATGGCTTAAAAAAAAAAATAATAATGAAAATATTTCTGTCTTTGATTTCCCTCAGTTCCTCTATTGGAGCAAAAAGGTACTGCTGTGTATAGATACTGATTTTGGTAAGAGGATGCTGGGTGGGGAAGCTGGATTCTCTCCTGATAGCTCCATCCCATCAGCAATGAAAGATCAGGCACGTTCATGGTACAACTTCACTGTGGCTAGTGCTTCAGCTGTCCTTCGGATGATCACAGGCACCTTCGGCTGCCGTATTTTTAGAGTTGTTTTGCAAAGAAGATTAGAAAAGACTTAGAATCTCTTTCCCACATTGATATTTTCTCAAATATGGAAATGTTCAGCATTTTTAGCTGACGAGTTTGGCCTGTCATCTTAATTATATCACCAGGGCTGTGTGTAGACATGGGCTTCTCCTACCTGACCTTTCTTCGTTCTCTGGATGCTGTTTAGATGTCTGAATCTTAGAACGGTTTGGGTTGAGAAGGGACCTCAAAGCCCACTGTCTGAATCTTAGAACGGTTTGGGTTGGAAGGGACCTCAAAGCCCACCCAGTGCCACCCCCTGCCCTGGGCAGGGACACCTCCCACCACACCAGGTTGCTCCAAGCCCCCTCCAACCTGCCCTTGAACCCCTCCAGGGATGGGGCAGCCACAGCTTCTCGGGCCAACCTGGGCCAGGCTCTCACCACCCTCCCACCAAACAAGTTCTTCCCCACAGCTCAGCTCCATCTCCCCTCTTTCAGGGTCCAGCCCTCCTCCCCCTCCCTCATCCAGAGTCCCTCCCCAGCTTTCCTGGAGCCCCCCTTCTTTAGGGACTGGAAGGGGCTCCAAGGTCTCCCCGGAGCCTTCTCTTCTCCAGGCTGAACCCCCCCAACTCTCTCAGCCCCCCCTCCCAGCAGAGGGGCTCCAGCCCTCCCAGCATCTCTGTGGCCTCCTCTGGCCCTGCTCCAACAGCTCCATGTCCTTCCTGTGCTGATCTAGTGACTGCACTCTGGTAGTAGTTGTCCTGGTCTTGGTTTTGCTAGATTTAGTGACAGTTCTTTAGGAAGCCCATCTCCAGGTGGGTCAAGTACATATTTAGTGGGGAAAGAAAGAGCCTATGTGTGAGCTGCTGTTTTCCAAAGTCACGGGATTAACAGGGACAGCCCTCTCCTAGGGCAGGGTTTCTAGTTACGCTTCTTGCGAGTGTGATGAGGGCACGTGGAAGGAGTGGAATGGGACAAACAGTTCATAAATAGTCACTAAATGTTCTGATATACCAGTGGCCTGCAAAAGTGTCCACAACTTTCACTGCCTGAATGCTGAGACCCTGGTAACCACGAATGGGTGGCCTGGAGAGACCTGGTCTAGTGGGAGGTGTCCCTTACCAGGGCAGGGGATTGAAACAAGATGATCTTCAAGGTCCCTTCTGATCCAAACCATTCTATGATTTTATGTCCGTGCTAGAATAGGAAGGGAGAAGAGGGTAAAGACTTTGACCTTAAGGTAGCACAGGGTGGTGGGTTGGAGTCTGGAGGATTGGGACAGGACAGATGGAGGCACAAGTAGAAAGTATTAAACTTGCCTGAGAAGATTAACATGCTGGCGACTGCAGGCACCAGAGAGCAGGTAATAAAGGACACCTCGCCTTATGCTCTGTGACCCTTGAGAAGAGGGCAGTATTCCAGGAGGGCATAGCTGGGAGCATCCCGTGGCTGAGCCTGACAACCATCTGTGGATTCCCATCGTAACAGATGAAGCTTTTTAAAGCCACGAGCTTGCTTTTGTTGTGTGGAGTTGTGTGAACTGGTGGTGGGAACAGTCACTTGCCATGGGAAACTCTCTTTATCTAAAACGAATTAGCTTTTTCTTGTGATCAGGAGAAAAAAGTGCTAGAATAGGAAGGGAGAAGAGGGTAAAGACTTTGACCTTAAGGTAGCACAGGGTGGTGGGTTGGAGTCTGGAGGATTGGGACAGGACAGATGGAGGCACAAGTAGAAAGTATTAAACTTGCCTGAGAAGATTAACATGCTGGCGACTGCAGGCACCAGAGAGCAGGTAATAAAGGACACCTCGCCTTATGCTCTGTGACCCTTGAGAAGAGGGCAGTATTCCAGGAGGGCATAGCTGGGAGCATCCCGTGGCAGAGCCTGACAACCATCTGTGGATTCCCATCGTAACAGATCAAGCTTTTTAAAGCAACGAGCTTGCTTTTGTTGTGTGGAGTTGTGTGAACTGGTGGTGGGAACAGTCACTTGCCATGGGAAATTTTCTATTTATCTAAAAAGATTTAGCTTTTTCTTGTGATCAGGAGAAAAAAGTTCAGGTGGAGGCCTCACAGATACAGGAAGTTCTCTGAGAAACGCGGCAAAGCAAGGAGGTGATTACTCAGGGACGTGGAGAGGATGAATTGAAGACCTGTGTTTTGTTTATGGCCAGAACTCCCCCTGGTTTTCTGCTTGCACTTCCCTCCCGACACCAGAGCAATAAGATAATCTGAAATAACTTCTGTTCCGTTCAGAGGTCTAGGAGCAGGAGATATGGAATGTGTCCTTAAGTGCCTGAGCTATTTTAAGAGCAGGTATTATTCACAGCACCAGGGTTCACGAATACGTACAGGGGCAACCAGCCTTCGAACCGCTGGGGCGGTGGAGAACGTGGCCACCCCTCAGCGTGCCCGAGGCACCGTGCGTGTGCTGCCAATGAGCTGATCTTGGTCATTATCACATGAATATTTTCTTCTGCTGTAGATAATTCTTTTGTGAGTGTTTGTTTTTATATGCTTTATCGAATGGTTGCGTCTTGCAGAAGATGGCAGCCATTCATGGAGGGTGGGCTCATCCGTGGAATGACAGCACAAAATTCTGATCAGCAAAGGGATGAAGATCAGTGGAAAAGGGAGCAAGGGTTCTCCTCCTGTCACACCTGTAATTGAATCCTGCACTTCTTGTGCAGCTTGAGCTGGTGTTGCTCCAATTAGATATTTCCAGTAGCATCCCAACACGCAAACATTCCATCCTGCAAAGATCTTGCAATATAATGAGAGATGGAGAAGTTTTGGGGAAGAGGAGCAACAGTAGGTAGCATTTATGCAAGTTAACTTGGTTTGCTGCAAGTGCCGTGGAAAGATGGGTTTTCACTAGAGCTGATAAAAAGGCTTTTCAGAGGGAAGAGGGTTAGTTAAAACAAGGAAGATTTCAGAACCAGGATGGAATTGTGTGAGAAATGGATAAATCAAGGCAAAGTGAGTAGCCAGTAGTTGGTGGTCTTACCCTTGGTAGCCTAAGGCAATTAGACAATTGTTTGACACATCACAGTTTTAAGGCATGGGCATATTAAATATTATTAAATAGTTTCTTCATAGAGGCCGTATGTCAGACTTGAATTGTGTTATCTCTGGGTCAAGTCTTTAGTAGAAATCAGCAGAGCTGTGCTTGCTTTTGCCAAAGATCAGGTTCCTGATGTCCGAGTTACTAGGAGTCCCTTCCCAGTACTGTTTAACAACAAGCTTTTGTTTCTAATTTGCGTGGAAAGAAGAGTTATATAAAGACATGCTTAACTTGATGACTGACATGAGCGGATGCCAGCTCTCTTCATAAATGTTTTAACTTCAGCCCCTGCATTGGCTCCCCTTTTCCCAGAGGTGAAGGGCATCTGTTTTGTTGGACTCTCACTATAAGGGCATTAATTAATTCGGAAGGAGTTAAAGTTAATCCTAGCCAGAAGCTGGAACTCGCTTTGTTTTCACTTCCAGGCCTATGAAAAGCGCTTTCCTACGTGTCCAGAGATCCCAGTCTTCCTGGGGAGTGAAATCCTGCACGAATCCAGGAGTGACGACGGAGCCATACATATCATAGAGCGGAGCTGCAAGCTGAACGTGGATGCTCCTCGGCTGCTGAAGAAGGCAAGTGGGAGGCAGAGTCATGGGTTTTTTGCCTGACTAAGATTAATGAAGTCTCCTAAAGTTTCCTCTTTCCCCCTCCTCCTCAGATTGCAGGGGTAGAGTATGTTTTCTTCATCCAGAAAAACACAGTGAACTGGAAAGAGCGAACTCTACGTATTGAAGCCCACAACGAGACTTTTGCCAACCGCGTTGTCGTCCTCGAGACGTGCAGCTACTCAGTAAGTGCCTTCTTCCTTCTTCCCTGCGAAGGAAGTCTTGAAAGTCAAGCACTAAATACAGACTGAAGTTGTTTGAATGAATTTGAACACCGGACCAAAACATTCCATGATTAGATACTCTATGATTAGGACTGGAAAATTTGTTTGGTCTCAGAGTGTGGGCTTTTTTCCAGTGCTTTTGTAGGGCTTTAGAAACCTTTTTGGGTCGATTGTGGTTCCCTGGTTGGGGTGTTAGGCCCCAGAGCAAGAGCAGATGGTGCTTCAGAGCTGCTGGTGTTCCCCAAATTTCTTTTTGGTTGAAATTCAAGTTCATAAAAGCATCTGGAGCTTGCGCATGTATTTAGATTTGGATGTTTAGAAGGAAACCCTTAATACTTATTATGATGAGGGCCAGAGGAAGTCTGGCAATTAATTTTGCCCCCAGATAAGCAAAAGTTTTAAGGCATTGTCATGATTTTCATGGTCTAAATATTTGGAGAAAGGTCTTGAGCCTTATTTGTGGCCTGAGACATCTCCCTTTGTGGCTGCATCTTCAGCAACAGTGTCCCATTTCGCTGTAGTTGTGCTATTAGGGCTCAGTCACCATTAAATAGCTTCATCTGTTTCTGGAAGCAATCAGATATTGCTTTTTGTTCCCTAAACAAAAGCCCAGATCCTGTTACTTACCTGCCCTTTTGGCAACTGGACAACAGTTCAGCTTCTTGGGAGGGAGCATACTGGACATGGCTTCTGTTTCAAGCAAGAAAAAGAGTTGAAAAGCTATTAACGTTTTGGATGGTTGAGGGGGTTTCCTGAGCCAGAGATCAGTTGGTGGCTACGTGGGGCTTCCTAAAAACTACAGTAAATCAAAGGTCCATCCTTGTGAAAGGCGCTGACAGATCTGAAAGGCTCCCAGGTCAGCTCTGGAATGGCTCAGCCGTTGTTGCACTTGCTGATTTTTGGCTGCTGTTGCCTCCAGCTCGCGTCCTTGGGAAGGAAACGTGGGGAGCTGGGCTCGGAGGGGAGCGCTTTTCCTGGAACAGGGCGGGAGCTGGCTGCCTGCATCCTCAAGATGCTTCCCTGCTCTATTTTTACCAGTTCCCTTTTCCCTGCCAGAGCGCACCGGAAACAGGTTTATTCTCATCTTTCCTTTTCTGCAGGGCTCTCTGAAGCAACTTGGAGAAACATGATCCTGCTCTTGCAGTGACTTAATATCTCCCCCGGGGGAATTTGTGTCCTTCATAGAGCTCCTATCTTTGTTGGGGGGGGCTGGAATTTTTTTCTCTCGTGGCAGTTTGTGAAGAGCAGCAACTACGGAGAAAAGGCAGAGCCTTCTCAGCAAAGGGTTAAGTTTAAAAGAGGAAAAGATTATGTATGTATTTACCATATAGAGAGTAACTGAGGGGAAATGGATGGAAAGGAAAGGTGAATATTGAACCAGCAGTGGGAAAACTCCCTGCTCTGCCGTGTCTCCCCATGTCTTGAGGGGGAAAAATGACATTCAGTGGCCGAGTTTCTTATCCAAAACTAGAAAAGAAACCTGTGTTCTGTTCTTCTTCCTTTGCTGCAGATGTAGGAGGTTTAATTGCAGGTTCTGAGAGGCCATCCCTGTCTTTCTGTAACGTGATGGTTTCCAGTGGGCAGGCTCACTACTATTTTAGTGCAACTTCTGCTATGAATATTACCGTTCAGTTGTGCTGGGACAGAGGTGAGGTTTAATCTTGATTTCCCTGTGTGTGTGAAGAATGCCAGATCAGCCACAACATCCATATGCCCAGTTCATGGTGTGCTTCTATTACCCTGGGAGAATTCATCTGACTTTTAAATGTGGGTGCCTCGTAGGAAGCCTCTTTTGCCCTCTCACTCTGTAACTCTGGAGATGAAACAGCCAGTTTGGTTCCAGGGGCGAGGGCCCTGCAGTAATGTGAATTATCTGCTACTGTCCAACACCGTGTGTGTCTTCTGGCTTAGGTTCACCCTGAGAACGAAGAGTGGACTTGCTTTGAACAGTCTGCATCTCTCGACATCAAGTCATTTTTTGGCTTTGAAAGCACGGTGGAAAAAATTGCCATGAAGCAGTACACCTCCAACATCAAGCGGGTGAGATGGGCTTCCCTTTGTACTGGAAAAGCAAAATCAAACGCCTGCTCTCGGTGTCCCTGGATTTTGTTTTTTGTAAAATAGACCCACTACAGTTTTATATCCTTGTGTATGTCTCTGAAATCCCTCAGTAGAGTAAAATGAAGAAAAAGCCAGTGTGCAGCGAGCGAAAAAACAATCTGGAATGTGTGTGTGCAGGGGAGGGAGCAGGGATGGCAGTGGGTGCTGTGGGTGCCAGGCTCCTCGCACACTGGGGACTCTGTTCTCATGCAGGAAGAGAAAGTTCTGGGCAGAAACCAGCAGCTGTCTCTGCAATAGCCTGGGCAGAGGTGCTTCCTTTCGTTGGCCTTTTCTTCTGGGCTGCAGAGGAACTGGGCAGCTAATTGATGGTTTGGGAGCAGGATAACAAGATAAAAGTGTTATAATGGTACTTGCATCCGTAGCATTAGAATTTGCCCGGCCAGTGTTACAATTCACCATTTGTATGATGCTGAAATACTGAAATTTTACCAACAGGGTCATGCAGATGGAAGGAGACAACTATTTCCCTTTTTCTTTATAATTTCTCTAACAGTATTAGTCATCTCATCCTGAGGAAAACTCTTTTGCACCTTGCTGGTTCTGGGCAGATGGGATTGGTTTTTTTACCTAATGAGAGTTTTCCCCTTCAGGGCAAGGAAGTGATTGAACACTATCTGAAGGAACTGATCTCCCAAGGGATCACTTTCATCCCCCGCTGGACGCCTCCCCCAGTGTGTGGGCAGAAGGAGGAGAGACCCCCAGCTGTTGGACACGATGCTGAGGAGGAACCACCAGAGTCTGGGGATCGTGGAAGTACCAAAGAGCAAAGTGGCAGCTCATGCCCCACAGCAGAGGCTATCATTCCTGATGGTATGTGATGTCAGGGCAGCAGCAGCTGCTGGCCATCTAAATGCCTCGAGTAGCACTGACTAAGAAGTTTATTTTTATTTATTTTTTTAGCACGAGGTTTTTCTTCTGGATTGTGGGTGGGGAGGAGGGAAAGTTATTCTCTTTTTTCAAGAAAAACACAAACAATGGAACTTTTTTTTTGCTTCCCCGC